AGGGAAGGGTGATTGTTAGAGCCCTGAAATGCCCGGCTGCTGCAGGGAGCTATGAATGCACCGAGGAAAGTCTGGGAACAGCTGAGGGTGATTAATCACCCTTTGGAGGCAACGGGCGACAGCCAGAGGACCTCCTTGGCAGCGCGCACAAAGAGGCTTTCGTCTCCGGGCCTGCAAGGCAGGAAAGCGGAGGACCAGGCCCCAGCCCAGCCACGCAGCTCCAGGGAAAGCCGAACCCTCAAGCCCAGCAAGTCTTCCTGGAGCCAGCCCTGACGGGGCTGCGGGGGCCACAGGACCCGGGAAGGGACGGGGCACTCAGGAATCAGACATCCCCCTCCCCCTCCACCAAGGCCGGCACTTCCCCACTTGCCTGAAGCCACCTGAGGCCCTGCTGGGTCTGTGTCTGGAACTAAAATCTAGGAACCTCAGGTTTTTATTCTCTTTCTTGAAGAGCCACACAAAAAGTATGCCATAGCCATCGAATCCTTTCTTGGTGCAATTCCTGGGTCCGCCACATTGTCCCAGGTGACCGCGTGGGACCCAGGGGACAATTTAGTTATTGTTTTACTCCTTTGTCCCGTTCCCAGAGACAAGCTGCATTTTCTTTGCTTAGAGCCACCTACCTACCTAGCCGATAACCCGATCCAAGATTCCCTCCATTTCTTCCTCACCGGTTTCTGTGTTGGGGTTTGCGGTAGGTTGAAAGGCGGACCCCAAAAAGGTGTATCCACATCAAATTCCTGAAACCTGAGAGCATGCTCTGATTTGGAAAAGCAGTCTTTGCAGATGAGTAATTAGCTTAGGATCTCGAGACCAGGAGACCATCCTGCGTCCTCCCAGCGGCCCTCAATCGGGTGATGTGTCCTCATTAGAGGCACGCAGAGGAGGCTGCACAACCGCAGAGATTGGGGTGATGCCAAGGACCGCCAAGGTGGGTGGCTGGGAGAGAGGCACAGCAGGCAGCTTCCTCTACAGCCTGTCCTAGCAGGGTAGCCACGCCGGCGCCTTGATCCCAAAGACTCCTGACTTACAGAACTGTGAGCGAATACATTTCTGTTGTGTTTAAGTCACCAAGTTTGTGGAAATTTGTTACGGTAGCCACAGCAAACCAACACGGAGCTGCTCCCTGCAAGTAAAAGGATCCAGTCTTTGCAGGAATTGGTCCGTAAAGAATGCCGGCGGCTCGCAGAAGCCCCAGGAAGCTCACACACCCAGGCCTGGAGGCGGCAGCGGTCAGGGCGGCCGGGAGAAGCTCCCTGCAGCAGCCACACGTCTGTTACACGCCTAACCTCGGGAGCCGTGGAGGGTTTCTGCCACATACTCTGCCTTAAAAGAGAGTCCCTGAGACCAGCTCGGATGGGAGGGGAGGAGGATTCGGCTGCAGTTGTGACAAGAGCAGTGCCAGGGAGTTCCCGGACATGTTTAGTTCTTCCTCTGGCTATGAGTTGCTCATAGGAGCCTCCTCGCACGCGCAGAACAAACTCACCCCCTCCAACCCTCCCCCCCAAAGCCTCTTGCTCTTGTTATTTAAATTAGGTCCAGGTGCAAAAGAGGGTCCTCAGGTGCAACTCACTGTGTGCAGTTCCTCTCCATCCCCTGGCCTGTGGACTAAAAGGCAGGTCACCTGCCCCTCCTGCATACGTGAGGGCTAGGCTGGGGCGCACAGCAACCCCAAGTCCGTAAGCTGAGGCTCCAGGAATAATTCCTCTTGGCTCTCGGCTCCACCCTCTGAATTCTTTTTCCCTCCTATTCACGCAGCCTGTGTCTGTGGTTGTGCATTTGGATGTGAGCTGTATGATGACGCCACTGCACTCTACCCGGGGTGACAGAGAGAGACTCTGTCTCAAAAAATTAAAAAATTATTAATATTAGTTCTGTGTATCTTTTCTTTTTTCTTAATCAGAGGCTTATCATTTTTATTAGTCTCTTTGATGAGATGAGCTAACTGTTGGCTTTGTTGCACTTTTTTTTTGTATGTTTGTCTTCTATTTCATTCATTTCTTCTTTCATCTGTATTCCATCTACTTTCTTTTAGTTAATTTTTGCTGCTCTTCTTCTGACATCTTGAGATGATATTCAGCTCTTTAGGTGTTTTTTTAATTTTTGTATGTCTTAAAAAAATTTTTTGACAGGGTCTCACTCTGTCGCCCAGGCCGAGTGCAGTGGTGTGATCACAGCTTACTGCAACCTCTGATTCCTGGGCTCAAGAGATCCTCCTTGCTCAGCCTCCTAAGTAGCGCAGTGGCTCACGCCTGGCTAATTTTTATCTTTTTAAATTTTTGTGGAGACAGAGTCTTGCTCTGTTGCTCAGGCTGGTCTCAAACTCCTGGCCTCAAGCAATCCTCCTGCCTTGGCTTCTCAAAGTGCTGGGACTACAGGCATGAGCCACTGTGTCCCGCCAGCTCTTTAGTTTTTTTTTTTTTTTTTTTTTTGCAAGGGGTCTGGAACCAGCTCTTTAGTTTTTAAGTATCCTTCTTTTCTAATATATGCTTTTAAGACTATAAATTTTTCCCTAGGCATGATTTTTTTAACTGCATCCCACAAGTTTTGATGTGCTGTATATTTATCATTCAATTAAAATACCTAAAACTTTTTATTGCAAGTTCTATGACTCATGAGAAATTTTGAAATATACCTCTTAATGATCAAATGTATGGGGTTTCTTCCGGTTATCTTTTTATTATCTCTTTATAGACTAATTTTCTTGTGGCCCTATTTACGTAAGATTTAAATGCTTTGAAATTTGTTGAAACTGATTTCCGGTCCTGCATATGGTCAAATTTGGTAAACGTCCTGTGTATGTGTAAAGAACGTGCACCCTACAGTTGTGGGTTTAGTGTTCCTTGAACATCCATAACATCAATTTTCTTAATTCACATTGGAGAAAGCCATAAAAATAAAACTTCAAGAAGGAAAACAACAGATACCAAACGAGAGTATTATGGGAGTACTACAGGAGGATGGCGTGCAGAAGGAAATAGACCCGATTTTTTTTTTTTTTTGAGACAGAGTCCCACTTTGTTGCCCAGGTTAGAGTGAGTGCCGTGGTGTCAGCTTAGCTAACAGCAACCTCAAACTCCTGGGCTCAAGCGATCCTCCTGCCTCAGCCTCCCGAGTAGCTGGGACTACAGGCGTGCGCCACCATGCCCGGCTAATTTTTTGTATATATATTTTTAGTTGGTCAATTAATTTATTTCTATTTTTTTTTAGTAGAGATGGGATCTCACTCTTGCTCAGGCTGGTTTTGAACCCCTGACCTTGAGCGATCCTCCTGCCTGGGCCTCCCAGAGTGCTAGGCCTAGATCTGATTTTCATCAGCCTGTTATGGGAGTTCAAAAGAGCAGTACAGGGGCCTGGCTCCCTTGACGGAAATGTAAAATTTAGAACTCTATTTTTGAGATAGTATGCCTGGGACACGATTTAATTAATGAAAAATAATTGTAATCTATTATTAGGAGTAACAACGCTAATAGTAACAGCAAGTGCAAAAGCAACTACGCAGGCGGCAATGCGAAAATACTAACACAACCACAGGACAGTAACCAGAAGGTGCAGCCCTAACAACGCCGGCTCCCTCCTCCGGCTCCTCCCCCTGCGCCAGCTCCTCCTCCCGCTCCAGCTCCTCCTGCTGTAGCTCCTCCCCCTGCACCACCTCCTCCTCCTGCTCTAGCTCCTCCTCCTGCTCTAGCTCCTCCCCCTGCGCCACTTCCTCCTCCTCTAGCTCCTCCTCCTGCTCTAGCTCCTCCCCCTCCGCCACTTCCTCCTCCTCTAGCTCCTCCTGCTTCAGCTCCTCCTCCTTTAGCTCCTCCCTCTGTGCCTCCTCGTCCTCCTGCTCCATCTCCTCCTGATCTAGCTCCTCCTCCACCTCTTCCTCCTGCTCCATCTCTTCTTCCTCTAGCTCCTCCCCCTGCACCAGCTCCTCCTCCTGCTCCTCCTCCTGCTCCAGCTCCTCCTCCTCCAGCTCCTCCTCCTCCAGCTCCTCCCCCCGCGCCACCTCCTCCTCCTGCTCCAGCTCCTCCTCCTCCAGCTCCTCCCCCTGTGCCACCTCCTTCTCCTCCTGCTCCATCTCCTCCTGCTCTAGCTCCTCCTCCAGATCCTCCTCCTGCTCCTCCTCCTGCTCCATCTCCTCCTGCTCTAGCTCCTCCCCCTGCACCAGCTCCTCCTCCTGCTCCTCCTCCTGCTCCAGCTCCTCCTCCTCCAGCTCCTCCTCCTCCAGCTCCTCCTCCTCCAGCTCCTCCTCCTCCAGCTCCTCCTCCTCCGCGCCACCTCCTCCTCCTGCTCCAGCTCCTCCTCCTCTAGCTCCTCCCCCTGCACCAGCTCCTCCTCCTGCTCCTCCTCCTGCTCCAGCTCCTCCTCCTCCAGCTCCTCCTCCTCCAGCTCCTCCTCCTCCAGCTCCTCCTCCTCCAGCTCCTCCTCCTCCAGCTCCTCCTCCTCCAGCTCCTCCCCCTGCGCCACCTCCTCCTCCTCCTCCTGCTCCATCTCCTCCTACTCTAGGCTCCTCCTCCTCCAGCTCCTCCTTCTGCTCCAGCTCCCCCTCCTCTAGCTCCTCCCCCTGTGCCACCTCCTCCTCTAGCTCCTCCTCCTTTTCTAGCTCCTCCCCCTGCTCCAGCTCCTCCTCCTCCAGCTCCTCCCCCTGCGCCACCAGTCCTCCTCCTCCTGCTCCATCTCCTCCTACTCTAGCTCCTCCTCCTCCAGCTCCTCCTTCTGCCCCGGCTCCTCCCCCGCTCCAACTGCTCATCCTCCTCCTCCTCCAGCGCCTCTCCTCCTCTTCCTCCTCCTCCTCCTCCTCTCCCTCCTCGGGGTCGCTCCTGCCCTGTCCCGCGGAGCGATCGATGACTCGGGCTCATTGCGCCCGCCTGGCGGATTCGGCGCTCGGCTGGCGCTGCCTGCGCTGTTGCCACGGAGACGCGGCCGCGCTGTGGCGGCCCCGCCCTGCTGCCCGCGCGTCGCCGAGAGCCGCGGCGGAGCCGGCCCGCACGGTGAGCAGCATGGCCCCGCGGGCCGGGGAGGGCGTCCGCGCGGGGGCCGCGGCTGCTTCCCCGCGGGCGTCCCCGGACGCCGCCTGCCTTGGCGCGGAGACGCCGCCGCGGGGTGAGTACCGAGCCCTCCGCGCCCGCGCGGCCCGGTGCCGGCCGGGGCGCCTGGGCCTCGCTTCGGAAGCCGGGCGCGCCTCGAGCCCCACGTCCGCGTCCCCGCGTCGTCGCCCGCTCGTCCTCGCAGCTCGGCCGCGACGGTGCGAGGGTCCCAAGCTGGGTGGCTGCCGGGCACTCTGGCCCGGGTTGGGGCTCTGTGCCCTCTGGGGCCCCGGCCGTCCCCACACCACGGCATGTCCCTTTCTTTGCGAGGGTTCCAAGCTGGGTGGCTGCCGGGCACTCTGTCCCGGGTTGGGGCTCTGTGCCCTCCCGGGCCCCGGCCGTCCCCACACCACGGCATGTCCCTTTCTTTGCGAGGGTTCCATGCTGGGTGGCTGCCGGGCACTCTGGCCCGGGTTGGGGCTCTGTGCCCTCTGGGGCCCCGGCCGTCCCCACACCACGGCATGTCCCTTTCTTTGTGGTGGTTCCATGTTGGGTGGCTGGCTGAGCCGGCTGTCCCTGGGTTGGGGCTCTGTGCCCTCCCGGGCCCTGGCCGTCCCCACAACCATGGCTTCTCCCTTTCTTTGCGAGGGTTCCATGCTGGGTGGCTGCCGGGCACTCTGGCCCCGGGTTGGGGTTCTGTGCCCTCCCAGGCCCCGGCCGACCCCACACCCACGGCATGTCCCTTTCTTTGTGGTGGTTCCATGTTGGGTGGCTGGCTGAGCCCGTTGTCCCTGGGTTGGGGTTCTGTGCCCTCCCGGGCCCTGGCCGTCCCCACACTCATAGCATGTCCCTTTCTTTGCGATGGTTCCATGCTGGGTGGCTGCCGGCACTCGGTGGCCTGGTTGGGGTTCTGTGCCCTCCCGGGCCCTGGCCGTCCCCACACTCATAGCATGTCCCTTTCTTTGCGATGGTTCCATGCTGGGTGGCTGGCTGAGCCCGCTGTCCCGGAGTTGGGGTTCTGTGCCCTCTGGGGCCCCAGCCGACCCCACACCCACGGCATGTCCCTTTCTTTGCAGCGGCACCTTGGGGAAGACGTGAGGACGACTAGCGGGAACAGAACAGCGCTGGGTCCACGTCCCGACAGGCGTCAAGGGCCACCGCCAGCATGGACAGCGCAGAGCCGCGCTCCGCCTGCAGCTAGGGGGGCGATGTCCTCCCTTCTGGACACCGGATACCTCTCCTCGAGCCCAGCAGTCCAGGCCGAGGTGTGGGAACAGCCCTCCCAAGGCGTGGTGCCCTGTCCCTGTCAACTCCCAACTGTGCACCAGGAGGGTGACCAGGCGCCGCCCTGACCCTGTGCTGTCTCCAGATGGTTCTCTGGGTCTTCAGAGTGCTCGGAGGGGCTCCAGGCTTCCCCGCAGCACAGCCCTCTTCAGCACATCCCTGCGAGTGGAACCAATCCCTCATCTCTGCCATTAAGTTAAACGAGGACCCCTCGAGCCCCAAAGCTGGAGAATGGATGTGATCAGTTAATCTAGTGCAAGCTGTCGTGGGCAGCTCTCCACACACGAGAGCCATCTCAGAGCGGGGAGCGCGGGAGCCTGGCGCGAGGGCAGGGGCATGAGTGGCCGCGTCCCACTGGCGGAGAAAGCCTTGTCTGAAGGCTACGCCCGCCTCCGCTACAGGGACACCTCTCTGCTCATCTGGCAGCAGCAGCAGCAGAAGTTGGAATCGGTGCCGCCGGGGACGTACCTGAGCAGGAGCCGGAGCATGTGGTACTCCCAGTACGGAAACGAGGCCATCCTCGTCCGGGACAAGCACAAGCTGGAGGTCTCCCGGGACACGGGCCAGTCCAAGTTCTGCTCAGTCATGTGACTCCAGTGTGGGAACCTGAGCCCAGGCGCCGCTCCTGAGGACAGCAGGCCTGCGTTTCGCTCGGGTGTTGATTTCTAGTCCTTACCGGAGATCCTGAGTGATGAACACGAGGATCCAACTGCAGTGTAGAAACCCACGCCCTTTAGCACACAGTGGTGAGACAGGACACTTTGCTGCAGGCCCTTGTAGTCGGTCATGGTGACATTCGAATCCTCCAGGAGCTGCCGGGCACGGCCCAGGCCTCGGCACTGCCAGATGTCCCTGTTATGCTTCCAAGTGGGCAAGGGCAGCCCTCCATTCCCGTGACAGCCCGCCCTTTCGAGCTTCTGTAGGCCGTGTTCAGTATCAGCTCCTGCCTGTCATAGAACGGGTCAGTCCGGAGGAAGATGAGGGGTCTGTTGGTCTCAGATCCGTTTGCTCGGGCACGATGGGAGCTGATGGGCCGCGGTCAGCGCGGACGGTGAGCAGCCGCCCAGGGGAGGCCCGCCGCCCTTGCATTGTGAGTTACCAGGATGGTCTTTCTGTGTGACACACACGTGCAGCTTCCAGACACCTGAGCTGCACCAGTGAGCACACCCAGGACACGCTGAGGAAACCCAAGGCTGAAGCCCCACACGAGCTGCCGGCAGTGATTTCCAATGTGGCGACGTGGCTTGTATGGCAGGGTCTCCATCGCACGCTGCATTTCAGCCTCTGAGGCCACAGCTTATCCACTGACAGTTTGACGTGTGTCTGTCACTGCTGCCCACGTGCAGCCGGTGCCCACCCACGTGCGCCCTTTTGAAAAGGTTTCCCCTCTGCTGTGATTAAAGTCTGCCTGGCTGTGCAAACGTGGAAGGCTCTTTTGTCGAAGTTGATTTTTCTTTTCTAAATGACCTTCCTTTAGGACTCTCTTCCTCCTCATTCTCTTTGTCTTTTGTTCATAATACCTTACTTGGCTTTCAATGTTTTTTTAGTTTTTTTTTTGAGACAGAGTCTCCCTTTGTTGCCCGGGCTAGAGTGCCGTGGCATCAGCCTAGCTCACAGCAACCTCCAACTCCTGAGCTCAAGCAATCCTCCTGCCTCAGCCTCCCGAGTGAGTAGCTGGGACTACAGGCGTGCGCCACCATGCCCGGCTCATTTTTCCTATATATTTTTTTAGTTGGCCAATTAATTTCTTTCTATTTATAGTAGAGACGGGGTCTCGCTCTTGCTCAGGCTGGTTTCAAACTCCTGACCTTGGAGGCAATCGCCTCTTTGTCTTCCAGGTGCTGGGGATGACAGACTTGGCACCCCGGCCGGGGCTTTCAATGTTTTTAGACGTATATTAAGGATTGCTAAAAACCCCAATACAGAAATGAAAGCTAGAAAGTGCCTCCTGAGAAGCTGGTGCAGTTCCCTTGTGATCTTGTCGTGATGTGCTGTCTGCACATGCATTTCCTCACCTGTTAGATGATAGCAGTTCTGGTGCAAGGGGCATTGGGATGGCACGAGTTGCATCTGTGAAACGCATGTCCAAGCATGGTGTAGTTCTCTTGAGTGTGCAGGTGATCAGCATTCTTAGAGGTGGAACGCTGGCCATGTTATTTCGGGAGGGCTGGTCAGAGCATGCCCCAGCGGATTCTACTCGGTTGATGCAAAGGCCAGGAGGCGGAGTCAGATTCCGTGTAAGCACGCGTGTTGGTGGAGTACCGCCTGCCTGCAGAGGTTAGGCTCCTGAGCGGGCGCCCGGCAGAGTCTAGTGCCGGAATGGTTTTGTCAACATGTTTCAGTGCTTCCATTACTTGGGGAAGAAAGCGCTTCACAGACTAAATTGCAATGTCGTGGCCCTGGTAAGATTCGGACTAACCTCGAGACGGTCCCACAGGTAGTTCGGCCTGTGGAGATGAGGTTGAAGTATACAGAGCGGGTGGGTCGGTGGTCGGGAGGGCAGGGATGCGAGCAGTTCGGGGGGGGGGGGGAGACAAATGGACACTGCGTCATGCACAGGACAGCTGGCGCTAAGCCGCTTAGGCTGCAGGGAGACACCATCTGCCTGAGGTGGACAAGGCCCGTCTGTCCTCAGGGAGGCTGGTCTGGTTGAGAAGGGTCAGTCTGGCCAAGAGTAACAGGGTGCCCCAGGACCCTGTCCAGGATGGACACGTCCTCAGGCCTGGTTCCAGCACCAAGGCCGTTCTGCAAAACTGTCCCCATTCTTCACCGAGCCTCGACTGGACACCAGGTTCTGCACCCATTGGCGGCAGACCTCGCTGTGGCAGCCACTTTCTGTGGTTCCACTCGAATGTCCGTTTGGGCTGGCTGGACTTGGGTGTTTGACACCTGTGTCACAGCAGTCACCTCATGGTAGCGCAAGGCACACAGAGGGAGGGCGTCAGTACCAGGTGGGCTAGAGGAGCAGAGGTCTGACCGTCTACGAAGAAGGCAGCTTGTCCCGGAGCACCGGTTAACTGGCGCCCCTGCCCAGGCTGCGGACAAGAGCTGCTTAGTGGTCTTCCGAGCCCCTCCTGGACGTTCCAGGTATTTCTGCCGAGAGGTACAGGACACAGGAGGGAGGGTCCTCCAGACAGGCGCTTCCAGAATCTGCCCAGACGCAAGCCGGGGCAACACAAGAGCGCGCAGGAAAATGCACAGACTTTTATTTCTTTCTTTCTTTCTTTTTTTTTTTTTTTGCTTTTTATTATGAAAACAAAACAAATGCCCCAGGAGAAGGGTCCATGATTACCAGAAACATCAAAGAGTACTTTCTACCATTTTTATTCTGTTGTGTTGAGGCCAGCATTGCAATAAACAAGCTAAAACTACTTACATTGGACTCATTTTTCAGTAACTGACATTTACAGGAATATACTAGAAACGGCACTAAAAAGTTTTAAGAAAAGTTACGGTAAACTTGCATGCACATCATACAGAAAAGTAACATTTTAAATATAAAAAAGAAAAACTTCCTGGAAGCGTTACGCCAGTGTCAAGGGACAGCGCTAAGCTGGATGTGACGAATTGTTTACGTGGGTGTTGTTTTCCCCCCAGAAGACTGTAAAAGCCGTGAATGCTGCCGAAGAACAAAAACAAACACAAACACAAAAGAAAACGTGTCCTACAGCCTGTAAGCAGGTGACACTGCCCAGCGTGGGTCTCTGGGGTTCCGTCAGCGCCTGAAGCTGCCCCTCGGCCCCGCTCCTGCACACGACCAGCCTGCACACGACCAGCCTGCACACGACCTGTCCCTGCTCCTTTCCCCGGGAGAAGCACCTGGAAAGCTGCCCTATGGTTCTCCGCGCCCGGACGACCTGAGTCTTCCAACGTGGAAGACGTGGGGACGGCGGTCACCCCTGGCCCGGCGTCCAGGGTGGGAGGAAGTCATGGATCCCCCACACCTCTGAAATCAGTCTTGAAGTCTGGACAGAAAGCCTTAACAAAGTTACAGCACCAACGGGCTACACCTGCCCTGCGCGGCCCCGGGGGCGGCCAGGCCAGCGCCGGCCACCTCCCCCCCTGCCTAGCGGCTCACACAGGTGACACCTGGCTACCCTGCAGCGGGAGGGGCGTGGGCAGGAGCGCCCCACACCCCCACCTTAGGGTCCGCGCGTCGCCCGGACGTGCACTGCAGCGTGCGAGCCATCAGTTCCTGCGTGAAGACCCATCGGTTGTCGCGTGTCAGTTTCCTTGAATTCATAGTTTAAATATTCCATTAAAGACCTACTTAGAAAATACCTTTGAAAAAACAAGGGTAACTTTAAAAAATGGGAGCTTTAAAATCCACTCATATTTTTATTATAAACAAAACTTAAAAGTTTAACAAACTGGCTGACAACTCACCAAGTGCCAGAATCGCCGGCAATCAGGAAAGCGAAATCTGCCACCCGTTCCCTCCTCAGAGCTCTGGATCCACCCAGGGGTCCACCTGTAAGGGCTGGTGCAATCTGAATCGACTCTACGATTTTTTAAAAACTGCCACGTGTCAGGTTACTGACTAGTCCCTACTTCCATCCAGAAGTGCTGGCAGAAAGCGCTGGCCACCACACGGCTGACCGCCGCCAGCTCCACGCCCTGCAGCCCCTCCAGGGCCCCCTCCAGGGAGGTGGGAGGACGCCTGGCGGCCATCATCGCTGGGCTGACTGTGACAGGCCCCAGCAGGGAGCGAGGTGCAGCCTCCAGGAGGGGGACCTCCTAGGGCCACACACGCCTCCGCCTGCAGAGAGCAGCCGGGCCGGGCCCCTGGGGGCTGGGAGCAGGGCCCCCACCGGCAGCCCCGGCCGGCCCTGCCCTCCTGGCCGAGCCGCGAGGCTCAGGGCTCGGCTGGGCAGTCCGGGGGCTCCCTGCACACGAAGGCCACACACGGCAGCCTCCGGAAACACAAAACCAAAACGTAACCTTCTGTTAAACTCTGTATATTATTATTATTATTATTTTTTTACAATAGAAAGTTAAAAATCAAGACTTAAATTTACTATACATTCTTTTCTCTGATTACAAAGTTTATATTATATAACTGGGGTTCCCTACGCTGATTTCTTTTAAAACAGTCCTAAAGAGACCAGAAGTGGTGGATACAAAATAACGAAAACGAACGAAATAAAAAATTAGAATATGCTGTAGCTGAGAGTCGTCTATGCCTGTTAAGTCTCCCAAATCTCATACAAAACGAAAAGGAAGAAAAAAAAAACAAAAAAAAACAAACCCCAGAAAACCCAACAGACCGGGAGGAGAGCGTGCACGCAGACGTGAGCACCGCACAGGTAACAGGAACTAGCACCTGGAGGGGAGGGGTCCGCCGTCCAACAGAGCTGGGTCTCCTTCACACCGTGCCAAAGGCCTGCGTCTCTGCCGTTTTTTTTTAATGCATTTCTTCTGTGATTTTATTTTTCTTTCTTTTTTTTTTTTTTTAAAAAGATGACCAATGATGTTAATAAATAAAGTATTTATATATACATAAAACCGGGGAAGGTTCCAGAGTGTGCAGCAGCAGGGGCAGCGCTAGCCAGTCCGGGACGCACGCTGGGCCGGGCTCTCATAGAAAATCGCTGAACCTTACAAAAAAAGTCTCTTTTTTTTTTTTTTTTTTTAAATCTTTTCTTCTTTTTTTTTAAGTTGAGGTAAAAGCTTCAGTGTATGGAAACCTGCACACTGCACACGCAGCGGCCGTGTCCCCTCCCAGGAGCGCCTGGCGTCACCCGGCTCAGAGGAAGCAACCTCCCTCCCCCCACGCACCTCCGCGCTCTGGGCGGGGCCGGGACGACCCTTCTCGGGGCCCAGCCTGGTTCCCAGGAGCAGGAGCGGCTGTCCCCGGCCCCTGCAGGAAGAGGCGGCCGCGTCACACACGAGGGCCGGAGCCTGAGGCCCAGGTGAGAGAGACAACACCTGTCTGCAAAGGTAACAGCTCGTTCAAAGACAGGACCCATCGTGGAGAAACTTCCCGGGACAACGTTCCTTCTGGAGCTACTGCCCAGGCGGGGCACGCACAGAGGCATTCCTGCAAGGCCCTTCCGATCGTCCCTCTCACGGCTTTCCGCGGCCACCGGGCTGAGGCCTGAAGCTGTCGTCTCCAGGCGATCGGGTCCGGCTATGACAAAGGGACTTTATGCAGAGTTCACACCTTCTCATAAAGTCTAATGCACACACGGGACAGATCTCTGACCTACGAAAGCAGAACTGGGAGATATCGTAACACTGAGTTAGAAATAAAACCTGCACACCATGGAACAAAAGTAGTATATTAACCACAGAAGGGGACACTGCAGAGTTTCGGCGTGTGCGACGTCCGTGTGTTCCGCCCAAGTCCAGAGTCTACTCCGAGTCGCTGCTGTCGGAACTGGACCCGCTGGAGCTGCTGCTTCCCGACTCCGAGGAGCTGCTGCTGCTGAGCCGGGATGGGCCCCCCGAGGGCGCGGAGCCGCCTTTCTCTGCGGGAGACACGGCGGGGGAGGCGCTCAGGGCACGCCACGGGCACGGGCTTCGCACCACCACACTGTGTGCCGCGGTCCCGTTCCGTTCAGGAAATACCGTGTTTCCCCGAAAATAAGCCCTACCCAGAAAACAAGCCCCAGCAGGATGTCTAAGCGTGTGCGCAACAGAAGCCCCACCCCGAAAATCAGCCCCAGTGACGGGCGAGGCTGCGCAGCGCATCTGCACAGCCCGTGCATGTCGTCGCGGAGCGGGAAAGACGACGAGCAGCCCTTCTCATCCGCCCCGCGAGAGCTCTGTGGCTCGACATGAGAGATCGGGGCCGGTGGTTCTAAAGGAAATAGAGTCGCAAGACATTCAGGATGGAATTCGGGGTCTGGAGAGTGAGGACGATGTTCCAGAGGAAGACGACTTCACTCTATTTGAATAAATGTAGATTGCTGTACCGTACTTTAAAAAAATAACACATCCCCTGAAAATAAGCCCTAGGGTGTCTTCTTGAGGAAAAATAAACATAAGACGACCCTGTCTTATTTTCGGGGAAACACAGTAACTGTTTAATTAAACCACCCAGTCGTTTAATAAATGTTTGTTGAAACGAATTAATGAAGTCAAGGCTACTTAAATATGCTCCAGATGGAAAAGAATGAATACAGCCTAGTAGTGGAGTGACAGGACGCAGGGAAATGTCACCGTGAAGAGGTGTCCACCCTGCCATGTGGCCACGAGCAGTAACCACACAGGTGCATTTCTGGGGCACTCACTCTGCCCAGGGCACCCCAGGGATGACCGAGGGGGGACCCCTCTTGCCTCCCGAGGACGCAGGCAGGGCCCTGGGCCCCGTCTCGACCCTGGGCAGACAAGGCCCAGCAAGGTCACGGCCCCAGCTCGACTCCAGAAGGGGCCAGCACTCTGACCCCAAGGGCCACGAGCCTCCGACCACCACCCAGACCTACTGTCCCCGAACGCGTGTCTCGGAGGCCTGTCCCTGAGGCCGGGGAGAAAGTATTTGCTCCTTCCCACGGGCTCTGGAGAAAGGACGCACAGGGCCCGCGGCTCCTGACATGCCCTGGGGGTGCTCAGGAAGCTCATGCTGAACAGGGGCTGGGGTAGGACCCTGGTGTCTCCAGCCCACCATGAGCCGGCTCCCCGGGGTCCGTCTGTCCAGGGGTCTGGAGTGTGCGTTCACACACCGATGTCTACGTGACCTCCCTGCCAGGTCAGGGTGGGGCCCCCAGGGGACAGATAAGGACAGGGAGCTTTCCGGAGGTCGAAAGGCTCATCTGAGAACACAGAGCCCGTCACGCGTGGGCCCACACACGCGCGCTCGGACACTGGAGGGGCGGCCGTGGCCGCAGGGTGCCCGGGCGGCGGCCCTGGAGGTACCTTTCCGCGCAGGCTTCTTGCTGCTGCTGAGCTGCCCGCTGACGTCCTGCAGGCGCTTTTCCAGCTCCTTCTTCTTCTCCTGCGCGAGCTCCTCCTTGGACTTGGCCGCCTGCTTCTTCCCGCCGGCTGCTGCGGGGACAGAGGGTGCAGGGGGGCGGACGGTGGGCAGGCAGCCTCCTGTGTCTCTCGGGGCCCCTGCCGCACACTCCCGCGGCCACGGGAGGTGGCCTCTCCCTGGACGCCAGCATCAAACCCCCACCACTTCACAGGCCAGGGCACGGGCCCCTGCGGAGCTGTCGCCTGAGCCCCCAGCGGCGGAAATGACGGGGCTGAGCCGGACCCCCAGCCCGTTCTGCTGCGCTCCCCCACAGGTGGGAGGCCACGCCCACTCCACCCACAGGTGCGCAGAGGGGCACCGGCTGGCCAGCGCTCCCCATGGCAGGCCAGAGCCTCCAGCTTAGCCAGGGGTCCTCAAACTTTTTAAACAGGGGGCCAGTGCACTGTCCCCCAGACCGCTGGAGGGCCGTTGGAGAGTGCGGTGCACATTCCACACGTGCGCACTGCGGGCCCGGGACGCGTCGGCTGCTAAGCAGGACAGGCAGCGGTGGCAAAAACACCTGGCGGGCTGGACAAATGCCCTCGGCGGGCTGCAGTCTGAGGACCCCTGCCGTTTAGCCCTCCGTCCTCCCTGGGGCCGCTGCTCTGGAGCCCGGCCTCCACCGCCGAGGGGACGACTCATGCAGGTCAAGTGTGCCACGGCCCCTCGGGGTCACACGGACGCTGCACCCACGTGAAAGAGGCTCCCCCCTTCAGAGCGAGCAGGGACCGAGCACGCCCTGCGGCCACACACGGAAGCTCAAGTGAGCCTCGCCGTGCCCTGCGCGGTCTGTCGGGGTCACCACGGGGGCTGCCCTCACCCAGGCTCGGGGACCCGCAGACCCAGCAGTGACGCCTTCCTGTCCTCAGGCATCGGCTTCCAGGGCAAGCCTGGGCCGGCGCCAGAGCCCGTCCCGTGAGGCCTGCGGACACAGGACCCCGAGGGAGGGTGTCCCCGCCACAAGGGAGGCCTGCGGACACAGGACCCTGAGGGAGGGTGTCCCCGCCACAAGGGAGGCCTGCGGACACAGGACCCCCGAGGGAGGGTGTCCCCGCCACAAGGGAGGCCTGCGGACACAGGACCCCCGCGGGAGGGTGTCCCCGCCACAAGGGAGGCTGGTCTGCTCTGGCCCACAAGGGACCACCCGAGAGGCCACTGCAGCCGCGGCCCAGACAGCCTCAGGAAGGCGTGTGCCGAGGACCCTACAGGGACCCTGCATGGACGGGGCGGGGGCCAGCCCGGGTCCTGCCTTCCCCGATGGGGCTGAGGCCAACGCATGCAGTGGGCCCACCCCCGCCCCCAGGGCAGGGCGAGGCGGCTCTGGCTGGGAGGGGCTCAGGCCCAACCCCCGGCCTGGCCAGGCACAGACAGACACGTCCAGGGCATGGGGCGGGAAGAGAGGGCCGGGAGCGCACAGCCCCGCGGGCCTGGCCTGGGGGAGGGGCTCGGGCTTGGGGAGGGGCTCGGGCGCCGCCCGGACGACTTACAGAACGGCTTCCTCTGCTTTTTCTGTAAACAAGACTTGACGTATCTCTCCAACTCCCGCAGCGTGGTGGGCTTCAGAGTCTCGAAGTCGATCTCGATCTCGTCGGGGTTGGAGTCCCTGAGCGAGGGCTCACGCGACTGGATGATGTGCACCACGCGGCCCAGCTTCTCCCCAGGCAGCCGGTTGATGTCCAGGCTGAGCTGGCGCTTCTCGTCGTAGCTCATGGGCAGGCCCTCCTCCTCCTCCTCCGAGTCGTAGGAGGCAGATGCCTGCCGGCCGCCTTTCTTCAGCTGTCTGAGGCGGGAGACGGAGAGCCACGTGGCGGCCGGTCCCCAGCCGTCTGCCCCGAGAGCCCGCCGGGCCCACCTCCGGGCCCCCACGGCCGTGCCCGGCCCCTCCTCCCAGCAGCAGACTGTCGCGGGGACCAGGCTCCCTCCCGAGGGGCGCAGACAACGTGCAGCGGAAGCCTGAGGACCTTAAACACGTCTGCCCGGGCAATCCTGCTGCGGAGGCCCGAGAGGCCGCTCCCGGCCGGCCGGGGTGTCCAGGAAACAGCTGCAGAGCCAGCTCCTCCGACACCCGCGGGCGTCGCAAACCCATCCCCACGCGCAAGTCACCAGAAGGCGGCAGGGGGCCGGGCGCGGAGCCTCACGCCCCTGATCCTAGCACTCTGGGAGGCCCAGGCAGGAGGATCGCTCAAGGTCAGGAGCGAGACCCCGTCTCTACTAAAATTAGAAATTAACTGGCCAACTAAAAATATATAGAAAACATTAGCTGGACATGGCTGCGCATGCCTGTAGTCCCAGCTACTCGGGAGGCTGAGGCAGGAGGATCGCTTGAGCCCAGGAGTTTGAGGTTGCTGTGGGCTAGGCTGACGCCACGGCACTCTAGACTAGGCAACAGAAGTAAGACTCTGTCTCAAAAAAAAAAAAAAAAAAGAAGGCAGGGAAGCAGCAACAGAGGGACAAAAGACAGAGAGGACAAACAGAAAACGATGGAACAGGACACCAACATCCAATTACATCGATAACTGCATTAAATATAAATAATCTAAACACACCAACTAAAACAAAGGGATGGTCAGGCTGAACAAAAAACAAGACCCAACTTACATGTGATGCACACAAACCCCACTTTAAATATAATGTTATAGGTGAGTTAAAAGGGAAAAAATGAAAAAAAAAAAAAACCTCCACAATGTCAGCACTAATCATAAGAAAGCTGGAGTGTCTACATTAATTTCAGACAAAGCAGACTTCAGAAAAGGATCGTTGTCGGGAGAAAAGAAAAACACCGCGTAACGATAAAGGGGTCCACTGGGCAAGCAGACGTCACCCTCCGAAAGTGGGTACACATCAGAAATCCCAGCTTTCAGAAACAGAGAGCAAAAGCCGACAGAACTAAAACTAAAGGGACTACAGAAAAATACACGTAGTTGGAAATTTCAACAATTCACTCCTGGCACTTTTTAAAATAAGTAAATCGGCAAAAGTGAGAGGAGACGGGACGACACAGTCAGCGTGACGGTCTGGGGTCCCTCTTCCTGCACGGCCACCCACACAGCAGCCCACCGGCAGGGACGGACCACGCCCCAGGCTGTGAAACACCCCGGCGTGAAGTTAAAGACACTCAAGTCATCCGAAGTTTGTTCTCCGACCTTAACGGAATTAAACTAGCCATCGATAATCAAAACATCTGGCAAAGCCCCCAAGCACTGGGAAATCAAACAACACAATTCCGAATAACTAACCGGTCAGAGAGTTATTCTGAACAAAATGCAAACAAAGCCACAGCACATGAAGATCTGTGGGCTGCGGCTGAAGCAGCGTTCAGGTGGGAACCCACAGCGCTAAACCTCAGGGCGGAAAAGGTCTCACGTCAGTAATCCGACCTTCCGCCTAAGAAACCGAGAAACAACCGAGTCTGAAACAGGCACAAGGAACCGGCGAAGACCGGAAACGAATAAAAGTGAAAACACGGAAAAATCGATGAAATCCAATGACGACTCTTTAACAGATCAATAAAGTTGATAAATCTCTATCCAGATTGATCAATAAAAAAGACACAAATTACCGATATAGAGAATAAAAGGAAAGACCTCGCCAAGGCTCTCCAGGCAGGAAATGGTGCCAAGGTCACCGCGCACACCTGCGTCCACACACGCGACCGCCTCCCCGAACTGGGGCAGTCCCTCGAAAGGCGGAAACCGCCAAAACTCACTCAAAAAGAAACTGACAACCTCAGCCCTGTATCTATTAAAACAATCATATTCATGGTCAAAACTCCAGGCCCAAATGGCGATTTTTACCAAATATTTAAGAATTAATACCAATTCTATAAATCTACCCCAGAAAACAGAAGAGGGGGACCACGTCTCAACTCATTTTTTTCTTATCGGCCCTAATCACTCTAGAGTATCACATCCCGACCGACTCATTACTGAGGTCAGCACTATACTCATACCGAAACCAGAGACAGCACAGGCTGAACGTCCGGAATCCGAAAATCCGAAATCCAAAATGCTCCAAGATCCAAGACTTTCTGAGAGCTGACATGATGCTCAGAGGAAATGCTCGTTGAAGCATTCTGGATTTCACATTTTCAAAAATCTGGGACGCTCAAATGGTAAGTTACACTATAATGCGAATATTCCAAAATCGGAAAACATCCCAAATCTAAAACACTTCTAGCTCCAAACGTTTCGGATAAGGGATGCTCAACCTGTGTAAGGAACACTGGCTTTTGCATCCCCTCCAACAACAAGAGAGAGTGAGGGGGAGAGGGAAGGGAAGGGGAAGGAAAGAGCTCTCCACCTGCTCTGCTCCATCTCATCTGCGTCCTGCCCGGCCCATGCCGGACTCCACTCGCCCCCCGCCTCCCACTGCCGGGCACCAAGCCTGCCCCGCTGCCTCCCCGACGGCTCCCGGACCAATCCCATTCCTCCGCCTGCATGACCACAATTCCTCCTAGGGTGTCCCCTCTCCCGTCCCCGGTTCCCACCGAGCTCTGCTCCACAGTGGCCAGGATCTGACCACTTTCAGCTTAAATCCTAACTCCCCTTCATTGGCTCAAGAATAAAATGTAACCTCAGCAGGTGCAGCTCACTCTTTCCCCCCACCTGGTTCTTCTGCAGAGGTGCCGACCTGTCCCAACTTCCGGGAGCAACACGCTCTGCAGGCCTGCATGGCACCGTGTCCGCCGTTCCTGTTTGGGATCCCCTGGGAACCCCTAACTCTGCTGCCAAGCTTGCCCCTGCACAGCTGTCCCTCCTCCTTGGTTTGTTTTGTTTTGTTTTTTTTTTTTTGAGACAGAGTCTCGCTTTGTTGCCCAGGCTAGACTGAGTGCCGTGGCGTCACCCTTGCTCACAGCAACCTCAAACTCCTGGGCTCAAGTGATCCTCCTGCCTCAGCCTCCTGAGTAGCTGGGACTACAGGCATGCGCCACCATGCCCAGCTAATTTTTTCTGTATATTTTTTTAGGTGGCCAATTAATTTCTTTCTATTTATAGTAGAGACGGGGTCTCCCTCAGGCTGGTTTCAAACCCCTGACCTCGAGCAATCCGCCCGCCTCGGCCTCCCAGAGTGCTAGGATTACAGGCGTGAGCCACCGCGCCCGGTCTGCCCCTCCTCCTTGGGAAGGAGAGCCCGGCCCCACCCGCTTCCCCACCGGCCACATGTGGCTTTCTCGCCCCATGTGCCCACGGCAGCCTTCCTCAGCGCAGTGCCCGCCCACGGCAGAGGCCCGACAGGCTGCGTGGACGGACCAGGGGCTGAATCCCTGCCGAGGCACGATTTTCCCGCCCTGGCCCCTGCCTCCTGGGTGAACCAGGAAGGAAGCGCCCTCCCGTGCCCCCCAATAAATATCCTTGGCCCAGATCAGGAAACCCCCCCCCAAAAGTTTCAAGACGAGCAGACCAGGCAGCACGAGCGCTCTGATGCCCAGAATCGAGGCCAGCCCTGCCGATGGCTGAGCGGCACCCCGGAGCCCTACCTCTCCTCCCAGCAGGGGTGTCGCTGGGGCCTCACGTCTCCCCGCAACCCCCACCCGGTTTCCACGTGGCCAAGGCGCAAAGCCCCACCCACACTGCTGCCGCCCCAGACCCCACGATGCTCGCCAGGTGCTGGGCTCTCGGGGGCCTGCGCGGGGCTGGGGCCCACCTGCCGGCCGCGGTCGTGCTGCTGGCCTTCTTGGCGGGAGCCTTCTTCTGCTGGGCCTGCTTGGCCGGCGGGGCCACCTTGGCCTTCTTCTCCTCCTCGGACTTGGCCTTGTGCTTCTCCTTGTCCTTGTCCTTGTCTTTCTTCTTCTTCTCCTTCTCCTTCTTCTCCTTCTTCTTCTTTGGTTTGTTCACCGGCGCCTGGGACAGGGCGGCCAGCTGCTCGTGCACGGCCTTCAACTGCAAGAGAGCGGGCGGCTGAGCCGGGCCGCGTGCACGGAGCCCCCGTGCCCCTCCGCCCTGGGGCCCGCAGAGCCGGGCAGACCCCTCCAAAGAAGCGCCACTCTGCCCTCGTCCTCTTGTGACGGCTGGTGAGCCGAGAACCTCCCAGAGGGACGAGGTGCCTGGGCCCAGCTCAGCACGGGCAGGTGGCACGACAGGGACTCCATAGTTTTCATTATTATTGGTTTTCAGAGGAGGAAGACTCTGGAGGCCAAACGCCTGCACAAGGAGCTTTCCCACAGCCTCCCGAGGGAAACCTCTGCTGCCACGACGGGTCTACAGGACCCAAGTGGCCAGGGACGCGGCCACACTCGCCCAGCGACTGCCCTGCAGCCGGCAGCGTGCCAGGTGCTGATGGGCGGCTGCAGCCCGTGCGGGAGACAGCAGCCACCGAGAACCGCACATGCAGCTGCGGGGGGCCGTCCCAGCCGCCAGGGGGAGAAGCCATCAGCCCCTCGGCCCATCTCATGGCCCAAACCCCGGCTGTGTGCCCTCGCCAACTCAAAAGCAAACGTCCAGGCCGGGCGCGATGGCCCACCCTTGTAATCCTAGCACTCTGGGAGGCCGGGGCAGGAGGACCGCTCAAGGTCAGGAGTTTGAGACCAGCCTGAGCAAGAGCGAGACCCCGTCTCTACTACAAATAGAAAGAAATTAATTGGCCAACTAAAAAAATATACAGAAAAAATTAGCTGGGCATGGTGGCGCATGCCTGTAGTCCCAGCTACTTGGGAGGCTGAGGCAGGAGGATCGCTTGAGCCCAGGAGTTTGAGGTTGCTGTGAGCTAGGCTACCCCACAGCACTCACTCTAGCCTGGGCAACAAAGTGAGACTCTGTCTCAAAAAACAAAACAAACAAACAAACAAAAAAAACAAAAGCAAAGGTCCAGGCAGGGCGTGGTGGCTCACGCCTGTAATCCTAGCACTCTGGGAGGCCGTGGCAGGAGGATGGCTCAAGGTCAGGAGTTCAAGACCAGCCTGAACAGGAGCAAGACCCTGTCTCTAATAACAATAGAAAGAAATTAATTGGCCAACTAAAAATATATAGAAAAAATTAGCTGGGCATGGTAGCGCATGCCTGTAGTCCCAGCTACTGGGGAGGCTGAGGCAGGAGGATTGCTTAAACCCAGGAGTTGGAGGTTGCTGTGAGCTAGGCTGATGCCATGGCACTCTATCCTGGGTAACAGAATGAGACTCTGTCTCAAAAAAAAAAAAGAAAAAGCAAATATCCAGCCCAACACTGGCGACTGCAGGGCCGTCCTTGTGCTCGGGGCCCCACGTGCCTGGCGGCCCCTTCCCGCCCCAGCAGCTCTGCCCCACCTGCTGCCCGCCTGGCTCCCAGGTGCTCGGGGGAAGCAGTTTATATTTCCTTCAACTCGCCCTCAAAACAACTCACAGAGGAGGCCGATTATCCCAAGTTGCAAACGAAGAAGGCGAGGCAGAAGAGGGGAGGAAGCGCAGACGGGGGCTGGTCAGAGGCGGCCACGTCCCCACGACAGCGCGACACCCGCGCCCGGCCCGGAACAGGCACCTGCTCAGACGGCAGAGCCAGGGCCTCTGCGAGCGCCTTCCAGACCCCTCTGGAGCAGCGAGAGCCACAGGTGACCACGGAGCCCCCGCCCCACCCCAAGGCACGCGTCCACGCAGCCGCCCACGCACACCCGTGGGTCACGTCACGCTCCTGCCGCCCGGGCCTGGGCAGGGCGCTCCGAGCACCTTCACGGAGACCCAAGCACGCCACGGAGGAAGGCCAGGAAAGCGGCACATCTGGCTGTCCAGCCTCAGCCCCGACCCACCTGAGCTGGAGAGCACAGCCCGCCCGCCCGCCGGCCCACAGCCCTACCTGCTCCTGCAGCTCCGCCAGCCGGGTGGCCCGCTCCTCCTCCGAGTCCGAGCTGCCCGAGTCCGAGGAGCTCTCCTCGCTGCTGCGGCTGCTCTCGGCGCCCTTGCTCACCGTGGGGGCCGCGGGGGCCGGCAGCGCGGGCGCCTCCACCGGCTCGTCCGGCATCTTGGCGAACCTCATCTCAAACACGTCCTGCGGGGAGCAGGGGCCGCGCTGAGGACCCGGGTGTCCAGGCGCAGCGGCGGTCCCCGGCGTCCCCGCAGGAAGGCTGGCCCTGCAAGGACACTGCGCCCCGCTGCCCCTGACACGCTCTTCCGCCCTCCCCGAGGGCAGGCCTAGGAGCAGGGCTGGGGGCTGACCAGCCACGGACCCCACGTCCTGGGCCCGGTGCTAACCCTGCAATCTCCCCCAGGAGACAGAAGCATCCCACGGCCCTGGCGGGCGCTCCGCAGGGCTGCCCGTGCCGTGTGCAGGAGGACGGCCCTCCGGCCACAGGCGTCTGCGAGCTGGTTTGCATGCCCCTGACCCGGCACCCTGGATCTCACTACAGCGGCCCATCTCACCCAGGGTTAACTCCAAAAGCCGGCTCCAAAGCAAAACGTCCTGTCCCTTCACTGCACCCGGGCCTGGCTTGGAAGCCCCTCTCAGGGATGGGCCCTCTCGTTGGGGCAGCCCAGAGGCACTGCCGTCATGGATGAGTGGCCACCAGGGGATATCCGGCTTTGCCGAGCTCACGCCCGCAGAGACACACTGGTCTGCACCTGTGCAGTGCGACTCCACCAATCGGCCTGGAGTCCGGCTTCCGGAAGAGTCCACTCTGGGTTCTGGTCTCCCAGTCTTGGGACACTTCCCCAGAGGCATGCACACCCCTAGAGCCCCGGTCTAAGCACCATCACTCAGCCTGCTCTCGGCCCCCGGAAGGCTGGTCAGGTCAGGCCAGGTCGTTTCGCTGTTGGGCTCCATTTGTAAGACTGATGGTGGCAACGGAAAGTCTCCAGCAAGGAAGGCTCACGAGCCCGGGGCCACGCTGCCGGCCACCTTCACGGGAACAGGCAGAGCGGTGGGCTGCCACGCTCTGTGTGTCCACGCGGAGCTGCCCGCGCCGCCTGCCTTCCTCATCAGGCTCGGCCAGGAATTAGCACACTAACTGCCACGTGAGTTGCATTTAACTCACACTGTTTCTGAGCCCAGGACCTTGTGAAGCACACGTAACTCACACGTCTCTTCACCTTGAGCAGCCTGGACTATCTGTCAAGTTGCATATGAGTCACACGCAGAAAACCAATAGAAAACAACAAATTTTTCATTAAATGAGAAAGGATCATTTTTTCTAAATTTATTTTTTTGTCATCCATGCAGGGGCTGTGCTAATCTTCTCTGCATCGTTCCAATTTTAGTATATGTGCTGCCAAAGTGAGCACGAGAAAGGATCATTTTGTCTTCAAAGTTTGTATTCTATCTTCACCATAAAACACGGTGGCCCCCTGGAAAAGTTTTTTTTTCTAGCGTGGCAGTCAGTGTGTTAACCAGGCTCAGGGCATTGTGTTTTACAACCCTTTGGGTTCAAAACGCAGTAAGCAAAGTCTCGGGGTAAAACTGGGGCTCCCGGTGGCTTCTTGAGGGTATAACGGGACGCTCGGGACCGCTGCACCGAGCTCCCAGCGGGGCCTCGCAGAGCGGGTGGCAGCCGCAGAGGGGGCCTTGGGCAGGAGGGTCGGAAGCGTGGGCAGGACCCAGCAGCACAGAAGGAAACTTGCCCCTCGCCCCTCGGCCTGCGCAACCCAGGATAATCCGGTCAACTGCTCGAGGTTCCAACACTGTCCTGAGCCGGGGACAGAGACCGTCCCACACGACACTCTGGTCCCGTAAGAGCGAGTAACAGCACTGGAGGAGGGTATGCATCCCTAACTTTGACTTTTTCCTCCAAAACAAAGAGTCTCTTGAACACATAACATTTAAAATACCGGCACCTGTCATCTGTAAAAGCAAACTCCCCACGCGACCAGTTACAGAAGGTAAGAGTAGGTTCTGGCGTACTGACCCACGGAAACAGGCGTGCGGCGCCTGGACTCCTGCAGACAGGCAGGCTCACGCAGACGCACGCGGCGTCACCACGGGAGAGATCAGAGCCCACGCGCAGGCGGCCTCTGTGCCGTTTGCCGGACTGAGACACTCCCTGTCTTCCCTTGAGACGACCCTCTGGTCACCTACATCTATTTTCTACAACACGTACGCCGCCTTCTACTTCTGTGGCCAGGAAAGCAAAAGGCCACAAAGGAACTGTCACGGAAGTCACCATCCACAGCCTCGCTGGCGGGTTTGTGACAAGCCCTTCCAGGATGCACACCTGCCGCCCCACGGGGAGCGCCCGCCAGCCCTGCGGCTCCCTCCCTCCCTCCCTCCCCAGCCGCTCAGCCCACGTCCCAGGAACCAGCTCCACGCCTGGCAGGGGCTTGGCCGCCACCCGGGAAAACACGGCGCACGGACGAGGCTCCCCAAGACCGTCCCCGGCCGGACGTTCTCCGAGACGCCTGCGTCTCTCCTGGCCGCCCCAAGCCGCGAGCCCCACCTGCGCCCGGCCTGTTACCTGCAGCTTCCTGGCCATGGCCACCACCTCGTGGTCCGGGGGGTTGTATTTGTAACAGTTGGAGAACATTAACCGGATGTCGGCGGCGAAGCCCTGTGCGTCCGGGTACTCTCGGCTGTCCATCTTCCTCTGCAACACACAGCGACAGGGCGGTGAGCACGGCCCGGCGCCCCGCGCTCTCGGCCAGACCCCGCCGGAACGACCGCGGCTCCTCGGCCGTGCGCCCACTGCCCTCTGGACGGCAGCCTCGGTGGCTGGGCAGGGAGAGGCTGGGACTCCAGGGACAGACTCCCGGGATGGAAGAAAAAGGTGCTCGATGAGAAGTGAGACATTAATTTTTTTCCTGGGAGGAACCCAGTAGCCGTGAACCAGCTTGCTTCTTACAGAAACACGTACTGTCCTGGGGACGCCAGCTGGACTTAAGGGACACCGTGCTGTGCCCAGGAGTGGCTCCTCACCCCTGCAGGGCGGGGTCGTCTACAGGGGCGTGGGGGCCACCATCGGGTCCCCGTGGCAAAACCCAACGCAGATCCCATCTGGCTGCGGCAAGCAGGGACTGAGGCCAGGCAGGCAGTGCCCCTCGGGGTGGGGGTGGGGCACACAGGCAGCCCCAGACCTGGGGGGCTCCATCTCGAGCGGGCTGGCCACCCCACACACGGAGGGCAACTCAAGGTGGCCGCTGAGAACAGGCCCACGGAGGGGACAAGTGGGAGACACACTGCCTGTGAGGGAGTGAGCCCCCCGGCCCAGGACAGCTTCAAGCAGAGACCCACAGTCAGGGACCTCGAGGGGGCCCGAGGACAGGGTGTGACACCCAGCCCTTCCCTGGAGCCCAGGGCTTTGCGGGACTCGGTGCCAATGAGACGATAGTCGGGCTCGGCCACAGGTGTCCTGCCTGGGCTGCCAGCGACCCCGGGCCCAGGACGCTCCCCAGGGGGCTGGCAGAGAGGATGGGGGGGACGGGAACGGTTTCTGATGCTGGGAGAAAGCCTTATCTTCTGTTCCCACGCGTGCCAGGACACTTCTCCAAAACCTTCATCTTCAAAATCTACCCCCTACCGAGGGCATTCCTCCTCCTATCGTGCGCTACCCGCTCAAAAACCGGGACCACCTCTCGCTCTTTGCCCTGAGGTCTGCCCGGGCGCGCGGGAGGCAGCGGCGGCCACGCGTGTGCGGCCGGGCCCGGCGGGGAGCGGGTGCCCTGCATGTGCACCGCGCACTTCCCCAAGCCATGACGGGGAACTCCAAACAAAACAAATCATGACTTTAAAGTGAACTCATTTTCTAAAGCTTCTTTATTACGGTTTCAAAGGCCAATGAAACCCTCTGGCCAAAATGCAATTAAGCTGGCTCTCAGTCTAGCTTGACCGCTGGGAACTCCGGGAATCCCTGCGTCTGTGTGGTCAGACCTCAGGCTTCTGGCAGCTTCTGGGCTGCGCGGCTCCGGCCCTCAGCTTCCCACCCCAGGGCGGCCAGCAGCACCGTGGTTGGGACGGCAGGGTCTGTCCTGCCCCCCAAAATACCTGAATCCACAATCAACCCAGGGGAGGGGAGGAAAAGGCTTTGACTGGGAGATTCTGCCCCAGGCTGGTGACACTGGAAAATGAGACGGAGTGGCCGGGACCCGCCCCTGCCAAACCTGACCCTGAGGACAAAAACGTACGGGTGCCCTCTGCGTGGGTGCACGCACCTGCCCAGGGCCGGGCAGCAGGCACGGTCACGGCCAGCTCAAGCCCACTCTCTGCTTGAACCAGACTCGCTCTGACCCGGTGTCAAACTCACGAGAGCCACTGCCCAGGAAGACCCCGACACGGGGCTGGGGCAGCCAGGTCTCTGGGTCTCAGCTCTGCCACCCCACATGGGGGCCCCCCGCTTCTGTCTGAGTGGGGACCGAAGGCAGCCACGCGGTAGCAGCCAGGCCCGTCCCTACCGGCCACCCCACCCCCATCTCTGCCGTATGGCGCCCACATCCGGGGCTGGAGGGAAGCAACGTGCAGCCTTCAGCTTGTGCCAACCCAGGAGCGCGGGCCCTCTCGGGGCCTCCTTGTGGGATGGCGCGGACCTCGGGAGGCGGGAAGGAAATAAATGAAACCACCTCGCGGGGTTCAGCTGGAACCAACGACCAGGAAGCTGCAGGTGCGGCGACCGGCAGGCAGAGCATACCTGCCTCACTGACCCCCGCCGGACCCCGGCTGCGGCGTGCGGACCAGCCCCGAGGGTGCGTCTGCCCAGCGGGCAGGCCCCGCTCCCCGGGTCGCCCCGACTCGGTGGGCCCAGGCCCGCCAGGACGTCGGCAAAGCTGGGGCTCCAGACCGGGGCAAGGAGGGCCTGGCCGGCCCGCCGCCCTCGGCCCGCCGCCCGGCCACGTACTTTGACGGTGCTGAGGTCCATGGGGTGTTTGATGATGTCGTGGTAGTCGTGCAGCTCCAGCGCCTCGGCGTCCACCGGCTTGTAGAAGGGCCAGGCGTAGGCAGCGTGCTTCTTGGACAGCATCTCCCGGAGGATGCTGTCGCAGTACCGCAGGTGTTCCGACAGCTTGCCCTTCTTGCCCGCGTGCTGCGGCACCTCGCTGTCCTCCAGGTCCTTCTTGGGCGGCTTGATGGGGCGGCCCCCGCTCTCCCGCCGGGCCACCACCTTGGCCTGCTTGGGGTCCGACAGGGGCGGGGGCGACTCGCTGCGGCTGGCGGTGATGGCGGACGTCGTGGGGGTGGTGGTGTCTGCTTTCCGCTTCACGCCCTTTTTCTGCAACGGGAGACAAGCAGTGAGCGCCAGCCGCCGCGCCCAGCGAGGAAGGGGGCGTCGCCGCGGCTGTGCTCCTGCACCGCCACGCCCTGCCGGGCGGACCCTGCGCGACCCCATGCAAGGCCTCCTCCTTCCTCCCAGCTGCCCCCGCAGCGGAGGCCACAAGGCTCACGGGCCGGGGCACGGGCCCAAGGTCACACAGCTGGCAGTGGTGGGACGGGGACTGCGAGACCCGCCCTGGCCGGAGCGTGGGGGTGGCACCTCTCTCGCCCGGCCCCGAGGGCTCGGCGGTCCTGGGTGGGCTCGCGCATCACACCCAGGACCGGGGAGGTGCTGCATGCAACTCACCCGACGCCTAACCGGCGCCCCCCACACCCCCCGCCCCGGCCAGGACCGGGCGATGCGGGACCGCGGAGACCTGGAGGGGAATTCCCTGCCTTTACAGGCCAGTGGGAATGCCGGGCGGGGGCCTCAGAACTGGGGCTCCAAGGACAAACACAGGCTGCGCAGGACGGGGGAGGCAGGAGAGCATTCCGGGGCAGGGGCAGCCCCCAGGAGACATGAAGCAGGCACAGCGGGTTTGGACCAGGGAACTCCGGGGGCCACGAGTGAGTGGGCGGGTCTGGACTCCATCCCGAAGGACAGGAGCCGCAGGGGCTGCTCCAGGCAGGGGGAGGGGCGAGATGACCCCCCGAGCCGTCGTGGGGGTGTCCCGGGGGCAGAGCTGGGCACCAGGCAGGCACGCACGGCGTGCGCCGAGGGAAGGAGGACGCGTCTGGTGCCCAGGCAACCAAGGGTGTGCGGGGCTCTCCGGGAAGCCTGCAGGGCCGCAGGGCCGCAGGGCCAGGGCGTGACCCTCCCGAGACCAGCTGGGCCGGCCCTTCCTGGCCACGGAGCCAGCAGGAGCCGCACGCTCCCCGCCCACGGGACCTGCTGCCCAGAGCCACTCACGGCCATGGCCCCAGCCGAGCGGCTGCCCTCAGGCTGCCAGGGACAGGCGCCGCTACCCACAGACACCTAACGGGCACCCACGGGATGCCAAGCGCCAAGCGCGTGCCGCGGAGGGCAGGGGCGGGCTCGCCGGGCCGTGGCCAACGGGACATGCTCCAGGAACAGCCCTGCGCCGCGGAGGCGCTCGGCCGGGCGCCGCCCGGAGGTGCAGGCGGCAAAGGCCACGGGGAGGGGAGCGGGGGAGCGGCATTTTACCTTGGGCGAGCCATTTAACCCCTCTGGGCGCCCGCTTCCTCATCTGTAAGATGGGGGAAATACTGCCTGCCCCAGAGAGCCGCTGTGAGGATCAAATCGAAGAAGATAACACGCGTGAGTGCTGGGCACGGGCCCCGCCCACGCTGAGACCGGCCCGCAGGGCGCGCCCGCTGGGAGGGGCCCCGAGCCGCGTGGGGAGCTGGCGCCTCGCAACGGACAGACACACTGCCGGGCGCAGCCGGGCACCTGCTCCGGGCGAGCAGGAGGAAGGGGCCCCTCCCGCGCTCGCCTCTCTCCCACCTGCCCCACCTGGCCCGCCGGGCTGCAAGGCCAGAGCAGGGGGGTCGAGTCCAGCCCAGCCCTCGCCAGCTGTGCGACCTTCGGCGCCCCGCGCCAGGATCAGCGGCCCGACCTCCCGGGCGCAGGGAGGGCCCCCGAACGGCCGGCACTCCCAGAAGGGTGGCCGAGCCCGCCGCCCGCTCCTGCCCCACACTCAGGAACCCTGGCCGGGCCCAGCCCCCAGCCGACCTTGGGTGCCCGTCAGCCCCTCCGGCCTGGGGTGCTCACCTTGACGACGGGAGGCGTGGGAGGGACCACAGGGACGATGGGCGTCGCGGGTGGAGGTGGGGCGGCTGCTGGGGGGACGGGCACCGCCGTGACATTCGCAGTGATGGTTGGAACGGGGGTGGCAGCAATGACGGGCGTCTGGGAGACGGTGGGGGGCACATTCTGAAAGGGGGTCGCCGGGGAGACAGAGGACACGGCCGCTACCTGCTGCGTACCTTCGAGACAAGGAAAGGGGGCTCAGCATGGTGGGCTCTGCTAGTATTTCCAGAAGCTTCCAGAACCACGCCCTGCAGCCAGAGCATACCAGGAGCCAGCTGGGATGGGCCAGACCCCCGGCCCTACACCTTGCAGAAGGGCCAGTCCATTGCACCTTGGCCAAGTGCTTGCTGCATGAATTGGAGGACCCTCTGGCCACAGACCAGAATCAGAGAACTGTCAAGCCCCCTAGCCCGGCAGTCAGGAGCCAGCCCTGGGGTCCGAGAAACTTGGGACTGGTCTTAGATTCCATTAAACTCACTGAGTGACTCAGGACAGGCCCTCCTTAACCACCCAGCTGCTCCCGACTGCAACACGGGACTGCCCGTGCACTGGACACGCCTCCACCGTGGTGCCAGGGCTCACGGTACTGATCACCACCACCTCCCTCCCTGATGGGGAGAGCAGAGCAGACCCGGGGTCAGGGCAGGCCCCCGAGGAAGCAGAGACATAGGGGACAAAGGCCACAGGCTTTTTGAGAGGCAGCCTCAGGGCAGGGGCTGGGAAGGGAGCAGGACCCAGGAGGTGGAGAACAGGGACATGGGGTCTTCCCAGACCACAAGCTCCTCTCTAGAGCGGGTCCTCCTTAACTCAGGCCACCTCCCCGACACCACCCCTGGCCACGCAGCCAAGACGGGCACCGGCCGGCTCAGCACGCCTGTCTGCCTGCCACGCCAGAGGCAGAGGCCCACGCCACACCCTCCACCCAGCGCCTGCCTTTACCTGCACTCTGGGTTCCTGCAGCCGGTTTCCGGCCTTTGCCCTTAGGAGCAGGGGGTAATAATTCAACTTCTTCCTGGGGCATCTGGGCCACTTTCTGTAGAAAAATTTTCTCTAAGGCTTGGGCCATTAGCACTATGTCATCTGTGGGCTGAAGACAGAGAGAGCCCGGTCACTGTCGGGAGCGGGCTGGGCACGCGCAAAGGACGTCGCGGGCTGCGGCTCGAGAAGACGCTTATTTAAAATGTGTTAAGAGATTCGGTGGGGCAGGAGGGGCTGTGTGGATAAACTTCCACGTGGAAAATCTCAGAGTGCAGAAACACATCAGAGACGAAACCCAGCCTCGTCCCGTGAGATGGAGAGAAAGAGCCTCAGCAGCTCGGTAGGTCTGTGCATCTCTGCTTCACTCGTGTCACTGTCACCAGAGCAACCCCCACCCAAGTCATGCAACTCCCCAAATCTGTCCTCCTCCCCGAACACCGTGCCGCAGACGGCGGCCCTCGTCACGAGGCGTCTGCGTCATTTCGGGGGAGGGGGGCGCCCTCGGAAACCGCGATTTGCTCGGCCAACCTCCTGCTGATGTGCGTGCAGGGGCACTCCCCTCCCCCCCCCCACCGGCAGACCCGTGCCGCCATGTTCTTTATTTTTTATTTTTTTTTATTTTTTTTTGAGACAGAGTCTCACTTGTTGCCCAGGCCAGAGTGAGTGCCGTGGCGTCAGCCTAGCTCACAGCAACCTCAAACTCCTGGGCTCAAGTGATCCTCCTGCCTCAGCCTCCCGAGTAGCTGTGACTACAGGCATGTGCCACCATGCCCGGCTAATTTTTTCTATATATATTACTTGACCAATTAATTTCTTTCTATTTATAGTAGAGACGGGGTCTCGCTCTTGCTCAGGCTGGTTTCAAACTCCTGACCTTGAGCAATCCGCCCGCCTCGGCCTCCCAGAGTGCTAGGGTTACAGGCGTGAGCCACCGCACCCGGCCGTGTTCTTTAGAACTGCTAGGGGTAGGCTCCCTGGGCCTGAGGGTGGGGGCGTGTCAGAGCGTGTCTGCCTCTGGCCACGACCAGAGGATACCACGCCAGGGTGTAACAGGCTCTGGGCCGACTGGCGCCGGTGGAGACTGCCCGGGGACCCTCAGGCACTGAGCCCGGGTATGCGCCGTGCGTGTCTTACCTTGTTATAAATGTAACAATTTGTAAACATGGTGTTGAAGTCCTGCATACACTCACTCGCACTCCAATAATAATTATTTTCTAATCTCTTCTTAATCGTCCCCATATCCATTGGGTTTTTTATTATTTTGTGATAGTCCTAGGAAAGAGATTTTCAAAGGCATTAATTACACAATCATGGTCACGATTCCCAAGACACAGCACGGTCTTCCCAAGTGAGCCGGGGACCGGCCGGGGCTGCCCAGAGGCAGTTTCTGGGCATCCGGCGGCGGGTGGGCTGCAGGCTGGGGCGAGCCCTTGGCCTGCCGCAAACTCCTGCCCGGCCTCCGTCCTGCCCCCGGGCTGTGTTACCAGCAGAACTGTGGCGTGGGGACAGATCCTGGGCTGGCCTACATGCCAGAGATCCGGGGATTCTGAACCTGCAGGTGGCCAGCCACCAAGCAGGGCCCACAACCAGGCCACTGAGTGCTGGCCGGGGCGTTCCCTGCAACACTCGGGAAAGTGGGCCTCAAGGTACACTTGCGACTGGCTTCCAGTGGGCGGGACAGGCTGGCAAACGGGTCACTCCGCAGGGGGGTGCACAACCACAGTCAGACCACGGCAGGACAGAATGAAGACTGGGGGGGGGCTGTCTGCCCCGGGGGGCCCTCCATCATCTCCTCCTGCCCCGGAGTCTCCCCATTTCTACCCTCCCATGCCCGGGGAGCCCCGTTAGCAGCCCCCGCCCACAGGGCAGCACCTGGGCGGGGGCCAGGGGCAGCGGGCGGCAGCGCAGGAGGGCGGGGGCCGCTCACCGGCAGGTTCAGCTTGATGGCATCCACGGGCTGGTAGAAGGGCCAGGCGAACTGGTGCTTCCAGAGCGTCTTCACCACCACGTTCTGCATGTACTGCAGCTGGTTGGTCTTGCGGCCGGGCTTGCTGGGGTTGGAGACCTCCGGGGGGGGCGGGTTCACAGGGCCCGGGGCCGCCGGGATGCCCGCGGGGGCGACGGTGGTGGTGGTGGACATCCTCCGGCAGCTCGCTCACTTCCCGTCTGGGCAACAGCTCAGAGAGGCCCTCCGTCTCCTGTGCTCCCCGCCGAGGTGGGGCATGCCATTTCTGGGCCCGACCAGGCGACGCCTGCGGGGTTGGGGCGGAGAGGCTGTCACTCTGGGCCCCCCGGGGCACCCGTCCGGTTGCCTCCCCCCACCCAGACGTGTAGCCGTCCAGAAAGCTGCTCAGGCCGACGGTCACCTGGCTCGGGAGGACTCTCTGACCAGTGCTCTCTCCACCTGGGAGGAAGAGGCGGGCGGAGGGACGCAACTCAGGCACCTGCTCCCAGGTGGAGGCGAGTGTGCCGGGGACGTGGCCACCGTTGGCTCCCTGGCCAACCACCACTTGCGGGGGCCGACTGGCTTCCACGGGGCTGCCCACAATGCTTGGCCGTGGCCACCGTGTGGAGGACGATCACGCCCAGAGAGCTACGGCGCGGACCCGGCAGCCAGGGCGGCAGCAGCCCGGCGTTCGCAGACCGCGGGTGAGGTTCTGCCGTAACCGGGAGACGGGCCTGGGTTTGTGATGGTGGCGAGGCTGTGACCCGGCCGGGCCTTGGCCAATAGGAGGGCGAGCGTGGCTCTGACCCTGCGGGCCTGCACCTCGCCAGCCCCGGCCTGGCTTCCCCGGCCAAGCACAGCACTGGCGGGGAGAGGCCACCGCGGCCCCGAGTGTCGCCGGAAGAGCTGGGCGGTCCAGAGCGCCCACAGGAACGCCACATGGCAGAAGAGCGCACGGGCCTCCCGGGCACCCAAACCCCGCACGCTCTCTTCCGGGGAGGGAGCCAGGACGGAGTGCCTGCGCCCACGCGGCCCCTTCTCTGCCCGGACAGGTGCGGGACATACTGCGGTGGCCTTAACTCCAGTATATCCCATCCCCTACATCCCAGCTACCATTCAGATCATCCCGCGCACTTGGGGGACACTCAGACGGGCCAGGGCTGGGGCTCCCCACACAGCACAGGCAGCCACAGCCGAGGGAACGAGCCACCTGCAGGCCTCGCGGGGCAGACACACGTGAACCGGTCGACGAGCCGCTGGGCCCTGGATCTGCCGGCGGGCACCCTCCCACCGGAGACCGGCAAACACCCCAGCGCAGGCTGTTAGTGGACCAGCCCACTGGCCACCTGATGCCCAGCCGGAGCCTCCTGGTGCTGCTGGGGGAGCCCAGATGACGTGAGCAAAGCTCCGAGTGCCGCACCAGGTGCCCACCTGCTCCCCGGATGCCGGGGGTCGCTATTGGCCACGGCGGCCTGGGGCGCATCCCACCCCCATCACCGGGTGACACGCCACTCACCCCGCAAGACCCATGGGGCTGAGAGCAGCCCGTGCAAAAGCCTGTTCCGGCACACACGGGCAGGCGGGCGCCCCACAGCCCGGGCCTGCGCCTGGCGGTCCAGCCTCCCCTCTCCTGAGAACACAAACGCTGCCCTGCCCGCTGCTGCTGGGACGCGCTCAGACCCCCGCAACAGCCTCGGGACGACCCTCGGGTTGCGGTGAGCCGCCCGTGCTGCCCCCAAGACGCCCTCCCCAGGAAGTGCAGCCACCAGGCAGCCTGGCACCAGCGTGGCAGGAAGAGGGAAGGGCATCCACAGGGCGCAGAGCTGGGGTCCGCCTGGACCCCCTGCCACCAACGGGGGCCGGGACCCACGTCCTGGGAAGGGCCCCACCGGCAGGGAGGAGACCAGCTGGGTGAGAGCTCACGGCCCCGTCCCATCTGGCCCAGGGCTGGCCCTGCCCCCAAAGCGTGGTGGGACAGGTGCACCCTGAGAGGCGGGGACCACCGTGGAGCCCGGCTCCACCTCTCCCCTGCACGTGCTGCCACCTGCAGCCACTGACCACAAAGCTGGATTCCCAGAGGACATCTGTGCGGGGAAGGGGACCACGTGGACGCTGGCAGGGACGAGGGAGACCCACAAACCGGGTTGAGACCTCCCCTGGGTGGCAGAAACGAGGGGGCAGGCCCCAGACCGGACGGCAGTGGAGGCTTCCAGTGAGAAATGACAACCGAAACAGACTGCCAGCAGGCCACCGAAAACCAGGGACACGGGCACAAACAGATGTGGCGGTTCCGCACAGGGCGAGGGGGGGTACCGTGGGACCCGACCCCAGCCCCCAGAGCACCCTGCAGCTGGGTGGCCAGCCGGGGTCACACGCCCCACTGAAGACCCCGCGTGGTCCTCAGGACAGCCACAAGGTCAGAATGACCATGCCCTCTGTGCCGGTGACAAGGCTGGGGCCCTTTCCTCCTGTGCTCCCAAACACAGAGCACTCGGGGTGCATGGCCGGCCCGTCCCATCCTAGGCTCAGGTGACAGGCGAGCACAGCGCGAGAGGACTCCAGGCTTCCCGCTGCCCCCTCCGGCCAGCAGGGACACCGGGCCGCCAGCACCAGGGACCAGCCCAGGCAGGGGCCGCTGGCCACCGCGCCCCTCCCAGGCCCCAAGTCTGATGGAGATTCCGAGAGTGCAGGTCACGGGAACAGCACACCAGCCGGGGACCAGGCAGAAAGATAGGCCGCGAGGGGTCCCCAGAGGTCCTGTCACGCCAGGGCTCGGGCCAGACACCCTCCTGCCAAATCAGGACACAGTTGGTGCTGACGGGTGTTGCCACGGTTTCACACTCACAGGGACATTTTAGGGGCTGGGGGAAAAGGAAGTGGCCCTCATCCCTCAGTCCTCCGGGGCTGCAGCAAAGGGACATGGACCCGAGTCACCTGGGGACACCATGTGGGCGAGCGACATTTGGGAGTGGCACACGGAGACGGTCAGGCCATTGTCTGCTCCAGATGAGCACGCCTTCCACTTCCCCCGGCTTCCGGAAGGAAAGACAGCATCACGTGTGCGGGACAGGGACCAGCCCTCGCTCACGCCTTGTCCCCAGGCCAGAGCCCGACCCCTCCGCGTGGCCTGCGTCTCAAGGCCGTGCTCGGCGATCGTGAACTCTGAGGGTTTCCAAGAGCCCAACCAGGGAGTGCAGTGTTCTGGGGGGCAGGGGTGTCTCTCCTGCACCTCCCCTAGCCCCAGGGGCTGAGATGACATCCCAGATCAAACCCGAAATCCTGCGGACACACACAGAGGTTCACACCAAAGACAGCCTTTGACCAGCTGCAAAGGGCCGCGGTTCTGCTGCACAACGGTTATGAGAAGCCTTCACCCCCAGCGCTCTTGGGCGTTGGAGGGGTGCAGTGACGGATGGGGGCCCGTGACAAGGAGGGCGGCCACCGCGGGGGTTAGCTCTCCACGCGGCTGGGAGGGAGGGACCGGCGCGGGCTCCGCTGCATAGCCCAGGGAGGGGCCCGGGCCAGGCTGGGGGGGGGCGCCCAGGTCTGAAGCCAAGGTGGGCGCTGGAGCCCGCCATGCTCGGGCCGGTTCACCCACAACGCCCGCCGGGGGTGGTGGTGAGCAGAGGGCGCTGGCTTCAATCCTGACCCAGCAATTTCAGAACCGGTGTCAACACCGCGAGGGTGATCGTTTTGAAGAAGTCCTTGTTTCAGAGCTTGGTACCGAAAGTTCTATGAACGAGACAAGCCTGGAGTTCGCTAAACCATAACAGAGGGGGGCAGCGAGCGGGGTGTGGGGGACGCGGAGCACTGGCCAGGAGCAAGAGGCACGCCCCCTGTGTTCCCTCCACGCCCCCCGGGGCTCAGCATCCTGTGCTGACCACCCCCCACCTTCACCTGCCAGAGATGGGACGAGAGGACCCCAGGGAGAAGCTGGGACAGGGGTGGGGGACGGACTCGGGCAGGAGGAGGGGAGCGGCAGGTGACACCCCCAGGGTGGGCAGTGAGGGAATCTGGGCTCCTGGGGACAAACACCTGCTCCTCGGGCTCCCCTCGTCCATGCCAGGACCCCAGGCTGGACAGCAAGGCCGAGGTCACCTTCTCCCCTCAGCACCCGACCATGGCACTGCAGGGGCTCACCAGCGCAGCCAGGAGACACGCAGAGACTACCCGGGGAAGGGAAGGGGAGTCTCTTGCTTGGGGACAGGCCGGGAGGCTGAAGGTGTCACTGCCACTTGGCAGGCACCCACTCTGCGCTGCGCACAGCGGGGCAGGGACGGAGCCGTTTCACCCAAGGGAAAGCGGAGGCTCGGAGACGGCCCGGGGCCCACCTCCCGCGTCCCCCGCTCAGCTGCCCACAGAGCCCCGGGGGGCGCAGAGGTGAGGCTGGCTGGGCCTGGCGCGGGCAGGGAGCCGCCGCCGTGCTAACCAGAGGGACAGGCGTGGTGGAGAGGCAGCCGCCTTTGACATAAGAGGATCCAAACCTGCCCGGAGCGGAAACTCTCAAACCACAAAAGCCACAAAAGCCCTCGGACACCCAGAAAACCCAGAGTTCAGCGGGTTCTGACGGGGCCTCAGAAAGACCTGGAACGCCGCAGGGGAGGTTTCTGAGCAGGCCAGGCGGCAGGTGGGCCCTGCCCTGCCAGGGCTGGCCGTGCAGGGCCCTGGGCATGCCTGGCCGCCTCGCTCACGAATGGGCGGACGTGAGGTGGCCTGACTCCCGCCACCCTCCCACGTGCCGTGCGGCCTTGAAGCTGTGGCAGCTCCCCTGCCCCTTCCCCAGAGACCTGGACTCTGCCCTCCCCTCCGTGGGAGGCCAGAGGACCTGAATAAAAGCAAGAGGCGCCGGCCCCCTTGGCTCCTGCCCAGCCCGGAGCCTCTTCAAGGCTGTGGACAGACAGCGGGCGTGGGGCCTGCCCAGCCACCATTCCGGAGAACACCCCGCAAAATCCACAGGGGCCCCTCCTGCCACCCACGGAGTGCAAGCCACCAGCCCAGCGACTCCTTCCTCCCCCAGAAGGGACCCCGGTGCTCCTGGGCGCCCCATGGAGGGGAGGCGGACGCTCGCTCGCCCAAGGACGGTGCAGCACTGCCCCGGCGCCGAGCCCCTCGGCACACCAGCCGCGGGGCAGCAAGTGGCCGTGGGGACGTCTGCAGGCCGGCCCGGCCCCAGCGCAGGGAGCCATACTCGGGGTCCAGGGAGGAAGGAGCCCGGCGTCCAGCAGGAAGGCAGGGTAGGGAGGACTGCCAGGAAAGGGCACTCTGGCTGCGTGGTGGGGGAGGCCGGACGAGGCCACATGGGCTGCAGGGACGAGCGGGGGACAGGGGGCATCTGAGGACCCGGGGGTCCCAAGGAGGCACACCCAGGGAGAAGCAGGACCATGGGGCACCAACATGGGGGGGGGAATCACAGCACCCTTGATGCAGGCCGCACAGGGCAGCCAGAGGTAGGAAGAGTCAGGTGGGGAGTCCCTGGATCTCACTCGGGGGGGTTGGGGGGACCCCGGCTCCCCTGTACAGGGCCACCATCACACCTGCAATAAGATGGCCTTCCGCCGGGCGCGGTGGCTCACGCCTGTAATCCTAGCTCTCTGGGAGGCCGAGGCGGGTGGATTGCTCGAGGTCAGGAGTTCGAAACCAGCCTGAGCAAGAGCGAGACCCCGTCTCTACTATAAATAGAAAGAAATTAATTGGCCAACTAATACATATAGAAAAAAAAAGCCGGGCATGGTG